TAAAAAACCATCTGCTCTTTGCAGATTTTTACTTCGACGATATATTGGCCGGATGAGAGCAAGCAAAAAGCAGATAGAATTTTGCAAAGCTTTTTTTTTCGCAAGATTTTGCAGAGCGTCCAGCACTGCGCATTGCAAAATTCTATTTTTTTTCGAGAAGCTGCAGAAGTTATTGCGACTCAGTAAGCACATAGCAAACGTACCCGCTGTTTCGCAAGGGCAAATATAATGGACCACTCAAAGGAAGACTCTGACGATAACCTACCTACTCTTTTTCCTCTGTTTGAACATTTTTCAGAATTGCTCACCTAGAAACAAATAGTGACGGCCGAGGAAGAAAAAAAACCAAGTTACAGAAGGAAGCTTTGTTCTGGAAAAGAGGCTGGGGACAAGAAATACCACATAGATCCTAGTCCCTCAGAAGTCTGTTATGCCACTGATCCAGAATATATTCCGTTCATTTATTCCATTCATATCTGTGCAATGACTGAGAAGTGTTGTCCCTCACTGCAACCAGAAGATAGCACTGTTTTTAATTGTCACGCTGTGCGGTTCGCTGTTTTTTTTTTATGTACATGTTTTTGCACGAGATGCAAACAGTATATGAACAAATGCTCAATGCTTCTTTGTATAAAAAGTTGGATTATTCATTCATCCACGCATTCGGTCGGCTTGCCGAGGGCGCTTTGCTGCCACCCCTCTCAGTCTGGTGGGGATTCACCTGCTGCCATCGGTCGCCGGGTCGTTTGCTACGCCCGACGAGCCCACACACTGGTCGCTTGTCACCCGGTCGTTCGCTGCCTCTGACAATGAGCGCACACGCTGGCTGCCTGCCGCTGTGCAAGACTTCCTGTGCTGCAATGGGTGCGCGATAACATGCATAAAACTCATGTCCAAAAATCACCCTACTGTACTTTCACATCCCAAGTCCACCTACCAGGGCTTAGAAGTCGTTGCGAGAATCTCATGTAGCCTTCGCTGGAACTCCCCATAACCACCACCACCACCCTCCCTTCTGTTCCTCCACCTACCTAGCCACGCTTAACTCACACACAACCTGGACCTTCCAGGGCTGGTACTCCCAGGGAAATCCAGCCTCACAACCGCACCTGCGCCTCTTCAATCAATGTTGCCGCTTCGACGTTCCCGAGAGAAAACTGAAAAAACCTTTCCTAGTGCTTCCTTCGCGTAATGATGAATAAAAACTTATTCTTGTTCTGTGGCACAAACCACGCAACTTTTAAATGAGGTTTCTGATTCATGTGTAAGAAACTATAAAGGGATCAGTTTTGAAGGGGACAACCAGAACTTGGTTATTGCCTCCAAAACTGATCCCTGTTGGATCGGCAAATAAACTATATGAAAACCCGGAAAGCAATATTAGAAAAAATCACTTCAAAACTTGAGATGAACTGAGTACAGATGTCCAAACTCTATGCAAAACTTTTTCCAGCAGTGAAGATAACTGTCGACTCGCTGTCACCTATGCAATGGGCCACTGTTTTTATAGCAGACTACGCCACAAAACACTTGCAGTTATCAGATAATATGTTTTTCGCTTTTTAAATAATGCAAAAATGCATGATATAAAAAATTTAAGCGAGTTAAACTTTCAAATTACAAAGATGCACGCAGTGTGAGAGAAACAAATTCATAAAGATAACAAACATGAAAAATTATCATTAAAAAAAAAGCACACACATAAATAGACAAAGAAACATGCGTACATGACGGGGACAAGGGAGCATTAATTAGACACAGAAGAAAAGAAACAATCGGCACTCGGAATTGCCAACAAAACCGAT